ATCCGCTGTAAACGTTGTACTTACCTCAATATTGGTTGGTTATCGTATGCCGACAACCACGGGATGAAAACGAAACGAAGTCGATTTTCCCGCTCAACCTGGAGGACAATTGTACAATTCAACAACTATACGGCCTAGTTCAGACAATGACAGTATTATATGTATCAAATATTTAACAGTTGAAGTATGATTAACTTGTAGACAATCCACGATTTGATATTATATCATACATGGTCGTGCCTGAAAAACGGCATGCATTTTCATGTAAATTTATATGTTTACATGAGAATATACATTATTAATATAAACCATCAGAAGTAATCTTGTGATTTATTATTGTAATATTTGTTCACAGACCTCAGTAGAAATATTTTTTATATGTTGGTGTTACAATAAAGAATTTCAAAGTGGCCAATCGGTGTTTTGGATTTTGCGTCCGTTATTACTAAGCGTTTCTGAAAAACTGCAAGGAACAGCGTGGGCCCGAGCGTAGCAAGAGCTGGGCATTAACAGTTTACGAGACGTGGCTGACAGTTTCTGACGGTAGAAACAGATCTGGCGGATTCAGACAGTTGGTGAAAGTTTGGATAGTCGCCGTTCATTTTTCCTGGTGCCGGTCAAGTCCTCTTTGAACAAGCAATATCTGGAACTTTTTGGAATTAGGTCAAGTTAAGCAATGCCTGGGTCAAAGAAGGGACAGAGAGTCTTGGACGCAAACAGGAAAGTAAGTCATGGTGACTTGTCTGTTAATTGTAACGATGTGTCTGATGTTAAGCATGACATGGTTGATGTTACTGTTTCGCCGTTCAGGGATAATAGGAACATCAAACTCCCTAGATTTGAACCACGGTGTTTTGATGGAAACCCGGCCGATTATTTACAATTTGTGAAGGAGTTTGAGATCATGTTGAGTGGTTTTTTATTAAATGATGAATTGAAGTTAATGAGATGATGAGATATCGCACTGGAGATGCTGCAAGAGCTATACAGTGCTGTAAGTTTATGAAGCCAAAAGAGGGATACTACGAGGCTATGAGCATATTACGTCAAAGGTTTGGAAGACCTTCGATGATTGCAGGGAAATTATTCGAGGCTGTTAAGGGTAATGGTGGTCAATTACAGGATGACTCCCAGGCACTCACTGAGTTCTTAGATAATTTGCTAATTTACAAGAATGCAATGATTTCGATGAATCGCATGAGTGACCTCAACTCGAGTTTTATACTAGAAGTAATAGCAAGACGCCTACCTACTCGACTGCAAAGGAAGTGGGTGAAGATAAGCTCCCGTACGGAGGATGAGGGTATCGAGCCAAAGTTTGATGATATCCTGAAACTGGTAAAAGATAGTGTCAATCAATCTATGAGCAAGTTTGCCAATCTATTACATCTCACCCCTAGAATAGAGCAGTCTGAGAGCAAAATGCAATCATTGATGACGAGTAGGCCTCAGAGAGGTGGATATCGAGAAGGCTCCATGATGTCTAGTAATGCATATAGACCTAGTGAGTGTAACAGGTTTCGTAGTACATCCTCAACAGATAAGTTGCAAGCTGCAAGACAAACACGGTTGTGTTTTACACGTTCGCAAGAGGTGCATACAAAGGTGAACTGTGAACCAGTGAGCAAGTTCAGTGATAAGCTAAATGTAAACTCCAGGCCTGACTCCGAATTGTGTGACGATAACGGTGCGGTCTAGAAGTCTGTAGTTGCAACTGGTAAGCCATTGTTGAATAGAGTGTCACAGGATAGAGTTGCTGCTTCAGAGTGCAGTTCTGACTCCACAAGTTTACAAAGTATAACTAGTCAGAGTGAAGATATAAAACCTTTAATGATTTGTGAGGAGGAACCAAAATTGTCTACTTCTGTTATTAAAGAGTTTGAAAATGATGAAGTTGACGGTAAAGTGAATATTCGTGATAATGATCATGATACTTCACAGTTGTCTTTGGTTGATCATGATGAGATGAGGGATATGCCTACTACTGCTAAGTTAAATAAAGGTTCTGTACAACTACAACGTGAAGTAGAATTGAAGGCAGATGCGGTTCCAGAAGGTGTGCATACTTGTGAGACAGTCAGTGTAATTGATCAGCGTGTAGCCCACCTATCATCAGATGATAGTGCTAAACCCGAACTAGTGGTGAAAGACAGCAGTGGTGGTAATCTTGCAGGTAGACAACTATCTGAAAGCCGAAAAAAACAGCTTCTGATCCACTGATACGTTCATCACCTTGTGTCACTCAGTCATCGTTGGTGTTTTCATCCACAAAGAAATGGACGTCCATGAACTAACGTGCCTTATGCAATGACTATGATAGTATTGGTGCGTTTGAAAAGACGAAAGATATTGCTCAGTTTAGTGAGAATAAGCCAAGTGTAAACGAGAGAGTAATTGTTAAATTGACTTGCACGAATAAAGGCATTTCTAGTTTCAAGTTACTATTTGAATGTTATTATCTTTGGTGTAAATTACTCTGTGCCTACGCTTGGTTGACCAGATACGTCATATGTTTGTTCGTCACCTATATTCTACGATACAATGACATGAGCGTGTTACCGTTCAGATTTGAGGATATAGCTGAGAGAAGGGAATCAGCAAATGAACTCTGCAACGATTTTCCAACCTAGAGCGTCAACCTGAGAAGGGTTGTAGGCGTACTGCTGTAAGTCCTACAATTCTCCAAAGGGTTGCGCATCAATGAGCAGTCCAATGTGCTTAGTGTGTGATTTTGTACATATGTTCATGTTGCATATACTGAATTGATATCATTTGTCATCTAGCTGTTGGTAATTCTGTTTGTGTCCAGACGACTTCCACTTGGATCATCAACCTGAGAAGGAATGTAGGCGTACTTCTGTAAGTCCTACAGTTCTTCAAGGGTAGTTTGTCATGCCGGAATCCACAACATTTGATGTAGTGATTGTACATATGTTTGTGTTAAATAATTGCGTGAGTTCCAATTATTGTAATCGTTGGGTTGTAGGCGTACTCCTTTAAGTCCTACTGTCAATCACGTCTCATAAACCGTTAATGCCCAGTTCTCGCTACGCTCGAGCCCACGCTGTTCCTTGAAGATTTCAGAAACGCTTAGTTATAACGGACGAAAAAACAAAAACACCGATTGGTGACTCGAGGATTCCTTATTGTTACACCAACATATTGCCCGGTACGTTCAAATCAGGTGACGCTTTTGCACGTGTTTTCGCTTATATTCATTTATTGGTTACTAATAATTGATCTTTAATAACGATGGTTCAAAATTCTAAAAAGCGTGTTCGTGTGAACACCAGTAATTTAGAAAATAGCACCGGCTCGTCTAATAACACATTACCACCCCATATTATTAGTAGTTCACCCAACATAAAAGCCTCGAACATAACTCTGACCCCTGTAATACAGGTGGAAGATGTTCTGTCTGAAAAAGTAGAGCTCTCTTACTTAACGTGCGTAATTAAAGAGATGCAGCTACAGATAGATGAATTAAAAACGAAATTAAGTTCCCTAGAATGTATACCTGAAACTATCTCACGTATGAAAAAAGAAATGCAGGATCCTACAATCCTAAAGCTTTTTAATATGACCTCTAGAATGACTCATACTGACTCAGAGAATGCGAAGGAGTTAGAAAACGCCATCGACTTTCTATCCAGCGAAGTTGTTAAAAGGCTGGCTTCAAAACAAAACGCAATAGTATATAATGTACCGGATAGTGAGCCCATAAAGTCAGTCCAGCACTCATTGCTGAAGGCTGCAAATCTATTGAATGCACCTTGTCAGTGCATTCGCCTAAGCAAAAAAGACCTGAAGTACCCTTGTCCTATACTCTTTAGGTTCGACAGCTACATAACAGCTGAACGATTTAAGATGGCCGAAGATCTTCTGGCTACTGCCACTAAGTTCAAGACTATCAAAGTAGTCTCGGATAAAACACCAAACCAAAGGCAAGCAACCAAGAACTCCTTCGACACAAAGTTGACAACACTGAGAAATACATCTGGTATCAGTGCTAAAGTGTCGACGGACACTGAGGCACAGCAAGTCACGTGTATAGTGTTAGGAGAAAAAACGGCAAGTAAGAGCGACCCAAAACTCAGTAAGAGCAGTGCCACTGGGTGCAGTCTTAGAGTGCACGAGAGCACATCTCGAAAACCTGCTGACCTACATGAGGTTGACATAGACGCACAAACTATGGCTGACCAGAAACTACTGGCAGACCACACTCAATCTGGATCCAAGCCAGAGAGTCCCTCAGTAGAAACCGCAAAAAAGACCACAAAACCCAGAGTCCCACCCCAGACTTCGACATACCTCCCTCGTAATAAGTCAAATAAGCAGCGTGTCAGTCTAAAAAATGACAAAGCATGGGTAACGAAGCACATTCCCAAAGACGTCACGCAGCATATGAGAAGGAATACCCCTTCCCGGACTAGAAGTAACATGCCTAACAACGCACATAACTTGGGAATGCAACGTAGAATGGATCCTCGGGTTACATGGGGCACTAAACGGGACTCATATAGGCACCATATTAACGAAAATTCTCGTCCAGACTCCCGCACTATATATGTTAAACCTCATCAACATAATGAGAACAGGTCGACACTTGATCCCCTCAATAACTTCACTCACTCACGTGACGTGAGCCAATATGCATACGGCTATGAAAGCCCCATTAGGTACAACTACCAGGGTAGTCTTAACACAGGGTACCCAGGTCCAGCAAACTACAACCCAAATTGCAGGGCAGACTATATATCACCAGTAGATCAACGCAGATGCCGACCCATGGATGCTAATAGTCAAAATATGCAACAGGATTATTTTCGGCTGCAGCAAGCAATAGCCCCCCTCGCAGCACAATTTGTCCAGGGAATAGTAAACACGCTGACAATGTCTCATATGAGGATCCCTCCGAACATAACATAGGCAACCAGGAGTTAGGGATAGTAACAAGAAAACCTACTAACTATCCCAACAACCCTGGTTTTCTGAAAATTATGCTTTTAAATGCTCGATCTCTCCTTAACAAAATAACTTCCCTTCGCAGCTTGGTATACATGGAGCGGCCAACACTGATTCTGGTAACTGAAACTTGGCTTACTACTGATATACCTGACACAAAGCTGATGATTGATAACTATAACATCCACAGGAATGACAGAGTGGACAAGAGAGGAGGCGGCTGTCTAATATATGCCTCTAAATCCACTAACTCCAATACCTTTACAAACCTAACTATCGACAAACTCCCAGAATCCAAGTGGATAAGCATCCACACGAATGAAAATAACATTCTTGTGGGATGTATATACAGAGCCCCTAACAGCCCTATAACGACTGATACGGTTATCGGAGAAATACTAGAGGTTGTACCTAAGCTGGAATTCGACTACAAACTAGTTTGTGGCGATTTCAACCTCCCTGGAGTGAACTGGGATACCTGCACTGGACCGAGAACCTACGAGGTGATCCTAGAAGCCATAGATGTAGGAGGATGGAAGCAGTGCGTACGCCTCCCAACACGACACAACAATATACTCGACTTAATCCTCTGTCACAAAATAGAGCCGATCTCGATAGAGGTGAGGGATAAACTCGACAACAGTGACCACAACATACTGTACTGCACCCTACCCTTACAACTAACAACTAAACACACACCTAAGAGTTCCCCGGTTTACTATCAATATAGGGACTATCGAAATGCCGACTGGGAATTCCTACCAACGCTCTTGAGAAGCTCAGACTGGGGTGAATACTTCACCAATAATAACTTAGAAGTAATACTAAATACCTTCTACAAGACAATCAGTTCGGTAAGAGACACAATCGCACCCCTGAAATCTGCCCTAAAGACACCAACTCTGTTCATAGATCGCAAAACGCGAATAAAACTAAGGAAACTAAAAAGGAGATTTTATTTATACAAAGAATTTAATGCATTACACCTGATACACGAAATATTTAAAAATCTCGAGGAGAGACATAAAATGAAAGCACAAGTCGAGGAAAATAAAGCCCTAGAGGGCACCTCTAAAACCCAGGAACTCTGCAAAATCTTGCAAAAACGGATGAAGAAGGGTGAAGAAAACAATATCAGTCATTTAGAACACGAAGATATAATTTATGATGATCCCCAGATCATTAGTGAACTCCTGAGTGAGTGGTTCTCCAATAACACCAAAGCACATCCGTCCCCAATTCTCGACATAACCTGCAAAAATAACTACAAGTTAGGTGAAATAAACTTTAATATACAAAATATAGCATCGGCGGTAAGGACATTAAAAGCTAACAGTAGTTGTGGGATAGACGATATACCATCCGTCATATACAAAAACGGTGGTACGGATATGATTGTATTATTACTTAGAATATTTAATATCTCACTAGTGACCGAAACCTACCCTGAAACTTGGAAAAACACATATATATTACCTAAGCATAAAGGAGGGGCCAAAACTAGTGCATGTAATTATAGGCCTATCAATATAACACCAGTCATATCAAGGATCATGGAGAAAGTAATCAAAGACCAAATGTCAGACTACTTTCTAAAACATAAACTCATCAACCTGTCACAACACGGATTCCTCAAGAAAAGATCTTGCGTCACTTGCCATATAGACTTTTTCAACGAAGTCACCTATAGAAGAGATAGGAGAGAGCTAGTGATTATCCTCTATTTCGATATAAGGAAAGCCTTCGACAGAGTCCCACATAGTCTGTTAGTCGGTAGGCTATGCTCACTAGGGATACGCAACCCCCTCTACAATTGGATAAAATCATTTCTGTATGACAGGAATCAGACAACTAAAGTTGGCTCAATGACCTCCAGACCTAGACCAATCAGCAGTGGTGTCATCCAGGGGAGTGTATTGGGACCCCTTCTTTTCATTATATACATAAACAGTATATGTGAATGTTTTAGTATAGGCAAGCCAATACTGTATGCAGATGACTTGAAGGTGACATATACCTGCACAAATACAGATATCGGCCCAACTATGAACTCCATACATGAAGAATTAGCAAAAATGGATAGATGGTGTGACACGTGGAGACTTGAGTTTAATGTTGAAAAGTGTGGATGGCTCTGCATAGGCTGTTCCAACCTTGACCTCAACCTAGCAATTCAGGGCCACAAAATCCCCAGACTCAAATCTGTACTAGACCTAGGACTGAAATATTCACACAATCTATCATTTTCAGAGCATATCTCGAATCAAGTGTCGAAATCACGAAGGCTTATTGGTTTCCTACTCAGGAACTTCTACAGAAACGAGTCCAGAATACTACTGTACAAGGTATGTGTGCGCCCACTCCTAGATTACTGCTCATTCATATTCAGCAGTACACGCATAGAAGACAAACTGAAAGTAGAAGGAGTACAGAGGTACTTCACGCGAAAAGTACTCGGAACCGATAACGGCACAAACTACTCTACCAGATGTGAAATCCTAGGACTAGAAACATTATGGTTAAGGCGACTGCGACTAAATCTGTTACTCTTCTATAAGCTTCTTAACCAAATAGTGTATACCCCTGCTAACTATACTCGGCCCTCAGGTAACACAGGATACAACCTTAGGCACACTAAAGGTACAGTGGCTATAGAACCATGTAAAACAGCCACCAGGCAAAAGTTTTTCTTGATTAGGTATGCCCAAATATGGAACAAACTACCTGAGAAAATACGACTAGCAAGCACATTGGCCTCCTTTGAAAAGGCACTTAATGACACACTAAGTGAGTTTGTAATTGATACCAATGGTAATTCCCATGTAAGAGTTTCAGAAATCATAGGCCCATTTAATGTATGAACTCAGAGACTACACCTGTTGTTTGTTTTGTCTCTATTTATAATTCCAGACAAAAAAGCAGCAGTCATGACAATAACACCCATTCAACCAAGAGTCGTTCAAACTATGTCTACCTGATACAAAGGGCGAACCATAATCAACATACGAATGAAATATGAGAAAACAAGGTAGAAACTTACCGCAACACCACATGAAAAGATAAAAGTTACTTGGATATCATATATAATCCACCAACTGGTCTCCTACCCAAAAAGAATGCGGCGATGTTTTATCCAAAAAGGCGAGGAAATACATAAACCCACAGCAGCTGTTGTTAACACTCAGTGGGGGTAGGAGCCAACAAAGTAATCCTTTCAAAGCACATGTATACTTCAAATGGGCACGGAGACTTTGTAGAATACGTCATAATCCAAATCACTGCCTCTACAGCGTCAATAAACCTGGATATCTATGATATAACGAAAACATGCTGAAAGCTGCATCTCAGATCAAGTTGACTCATTCCATGGTAATGATCTCCTCCTGCGTGCCTTATTCGACATATTGAATGGAATGGTTCGCAGTTATTCTGGTACTAGATCGAAAAGAATAAAAAATTCACCGGTTGCTGAATCAAAATTTTTTTTTTTTTTTTTTTTTTTTTTTTTTTTTTTTTTTATTAATTCCAAACCATTTATCCCATAATCACTCAAATTCCAGGAACGATCCAATTCTACCATTTAAAAAAGGTGGCGGACACGATGTAAATGAGAATTCATGATCTGAAATAAAGAAGCAACTGGTTTTCAACATTTTACTCAACTTACGAGTACAGTCCGCCATGCAGACACAAATGGCGCAAATGGAGAATTCTGGAATCGACCTCGGGACCATTTGATGCAGTAAAACAACCCGACATGACCTTATCTAGTTTTCGCCTCCACGATCAAATTTCTTTCCTGTTATGAAACTGCGATAAGACTGCTGAAAAATGGAATAAATATATCACTGATCTCAACATAATACATCAATAAACTTCAAGCCATGGGTGCTGTTCACAACAAAGTTATATAAGAGAATTGACTTCAAGCTTTATTTTTCCCAGATATCTGTATTACATTCATGTGATGTCTGGGTTTTTTGTTAATGCGAAGACAATATTTCTATATCTCTTTATGTGCTACACAAACAGACTTTATAGCAGACTGTTCCGACTGACTTTGATGTCAGAAAGAACAACCAAACTGTAAGTCCATTATACATCAAATTATGTGTAATTTATATAATAACTTATCCATGCCTGTACAATAGGTATGTTCCTGCATAAACAGGAAGGAATATATTATTATTATTAAAACAATATTTATGCATGCCTATACAATTGGTGTACCCTACATAGCTAGGGAAAAAAATGTACTTTATTATATTATCTTTACTAAATATGCTTATTAATATTATGTGTAAATTATCGAATTGATGATGCCTGTAAACTGGCGTCCCTCATGTAAAAAATGAGAATATATATTATTATTATTATTATTATATAAAAAATATTTCTACTAAGGTCTGTGAACAGATATTACAATAATAAATCACAAAATTACTTCTGATGGTTTACTGCTGACTTCTTTCTGAACAGCGACCGATGAGACGATGACTGTCGTATTGATGCCTCCGCGAAAATTGGAGAAGTCGATTTTGAGCAAACAACCATGAATTGATCGTTAAATCTTCAACTCCATTGACACTCCCCGGCAAAAAAGCGATCCATCCCTTTTTTCCTTCACGACCAATACACGTTGACTTGGATGCCATTGCGAGAACCCGGGTCACAAGGACAGAGCTGAAATGGAAAACAAACAGAAAAGCCAACACACCAAAAGCATACCCACAGCACAATCTCACACATCGCTGACGACCTGCGCCTCCAGACAGAGACCTCCTCTTGACATCTTGCAACACAATCGCCACTTGCTAGAATGACTCTTGCAGAATGCAACATGACCATAGCACCAACTCATGATACTCCACGCACATCCTCTTATCTACTCATTACCAATTACCACTGAAATCGCTTGTCACTCATTCTGCCTCAGTTCTAGTAACGGTGATGTATGCGAGCCTCAGTCGTTTACACTCTTTCTCCCCGGCGTGTGGGACCGCAGCTAACAATTGTCTCCGTGTGCATTTCATTCTCTGCAATAGCCTCCCCGGCGTATACGCTCCGTCTGCTGTCTCTAACATCAATCAATTCATTCATGGATGTAGAAGACTCGAAACAACTTCAGAAATAATCACGACGAAAATTTTAACAACATTACGCAATAACAACAAGACACGAAAACAACGAGTAAACACAATGAATCCAAAATACACCAGTTGCTATGACACACCACACGTATATACAAATAGTACAAACAACCTCGCCGATCATCTCTTGGTGGAATTCCTTTGAAGAATTGCAGGACTTACACCAGTACGCCTACAACCCTTCTCAGGTTGACGATTGTAAGTTGTGGAATGTCCGGACACAAACAAGATTAACCAACAATTACATCAATTGGAACTCACACAACTATTTAACACAAATATATGTACAATCACTACATCAAATGTGGTGGATTCTGACTCGAAAAACTACCCTTGAAGAACCGTAGGACTTACAGAAGTACGCCTACATTCCTTCTCAGGTTGATGATCCAAGTGGAAGTCGTCTGGACACAAACAGAATTACCAACAGCTAGATGACAGATGATATCAATTCAGCATATACAACATGAACATATGTACAAAATCACACACCAAGCACATTGGACTGCTCATTGATGCGCAACCCTTTGGAGAATTGTAGGACTTACAGCAGTACGCCTACAACCCTTCTCAGGTTGACGCTCTAGGTTGGAAAATCGTTGCAGAGTTCATTTGCTGATTCCCTTCTCTCAGCTATATCCTCAAATCTGAACGGTAACACGCTCATGTCATTGTATCGTAGAATATAGATGACCAACAAACACACGACATATCTCATCAACCAAGTATAGAAACAGAGTAATTTACACCAAAGATAATAACATTCAAATAGTAACTTGAAACTAGAAATGCCTTTATTCGTGCAAGTCAATTTAACAATTACTCTCTCGTTTACACTTGGCTTATCCTCACTAAACTGACCATTGGTATTCGTCCTTTCAAACGAACTGATACTAGCATAGTCATTGCACAAGATACTTGAGTTGATGGGCGTCTTTTTCATTGTGGATGACAGCACCGACGACGACTGATTGATATCAGTTGGTGAAGTTAGCGGTGGATCAAAAGCTGTTGTTGCTCGGCTTTCAGAAGTTTGTCTACCTATAAGACCACCACCACTGTTGTCTTTTACTATCAGCTCAGGTTTAGCACTAGCATCTGATGATAGGTGGGCTACATGCTGATCAATCACACTGACGGTCTCACAAGTACGCATGGCTTCTGCAACTGCACCTGCATTTATTTCTACTTCACGTTCAAGTTCTACAGAACCTTTATTTAACTTAGCGGTAGTAGGCATTCCCTCCATTTCATCATGATCAACCAAAGACAAATCTGCACTATCATGATCATTACCACAAATATTCAATTTACCGTCAACTTCATCATTTTCAAACTCTTTAATAACAGAAGTAGACAATTTTGGTTCCTCCTCACAAATCATTAAAGGTTTTATATCTTCACTCTGACTAGTTATACTTTGTAAACTTGTGGAGTCAGAACTGCACTCTGAAGCAGCAACTCTATCCTGTGACACTCTATTCAACAATGGCTTACCAGTTGCAACTACAGACTTCTAGACCGCACCGTTATCGTCACACAATTCGGAGTCAGGCCTGGAGTTTACATTTAGCTTATCACTGAACTTGCTCACTGGTTCACAGTTCACCTTTGTATGCACCTCTAGCGAACGTGTAAAACACAACCGTGTTTGTCTTGCAGCTTGCAACTTATCTGTTGAGGATGTACTACGAAACCTGTTACACTCACTAGGTCTATATGCATTACTAGACATCATGGAGCCTTCTCGATATCCACCTCTCTGAGGCCTACTCGTCATCAATGATTGCATTTTGCTCTCAGACTGCTCTATTCTAGGGGTGAGATGTAATAGATTGGCAAACTTGCTCATAGATTGATTGACACTATCTTTTACCAGTTTCAGGATATCATCAAACTTTGGCTCGATACCCTCATCCTCCGTACGGGAGCTTATCTTCACCCACTTCCTTTGCAGTCGAGTAGGTAGGCGTCTTGCTATTACTTCTAGTATAAAACTCGAGTTGAGGTCACTCATGCGATTCATCGAAATCATTGCATTCTTGTAAATTAGCAAATTATCTAAGAACTCAGTGAGTGCCTGGGAGTCATCCTGTAATTGACCACCATTACCCTTAACAGCCTCGAATAATTTCCCTGCAATCATCGAAGGTCTTCCAAACCTTTGACGTAATATGCTCATAGCCTCGTAGTATCCCTCTTTTGGCTTCATAAACTTACAGCACTGTATAGCTCTTGCAGCATCTCCAGTGCGATATCTCATCATCTACATTAACTTCAATTCATCATTTAATAAAAAACCACTCAACATGATCTCAAACTCCTTCACAAATTGTAAATAATCGGCCGGGTTTCCATCAAAACACCGTGGTTCAAATCTAGGGAGTTTGATGTTCCTATTATCCCTGAACGGCGAAACAGTAACATCAACCATGTCATGCTTAACATCAGACACATCGTTACAATTAACAGACAAGTCACCATGACTTACTTTCCTGTTTGCGTCCAAGACTCTCTGTCCCTTCTTTGACCCAGGCATTGCTTAACTTGACCTAATTCCAAAAAGTTCCAGATATTGCTTGTTCAAAGAGGACTTGACCGGCACCAGGAAAAATGAACGGCGACTATCCAAACTTTCACCAACTGTCTGAATCCGCCAGATCTGTTTCTACCGTCAGAAACTGTCAGCCACGTCTCGTAAACTG